GTTACAAAGCTTTCAGGTTTATGTCTCAGTCATGCAAATATCAAACACATTTCCCTTTACCAATACTTATTTTTTCCCATGAAGAACCCCAATAAAACCCCACCCCCCACCCCTCCCCGTCCCTGTGAGGCAGATGAATTCTAGTTAACACTCTATCCGCTTTGATTAGATTGTTTCAATAAAAGATTCACCACTATTATTTAGAGTTTACCCCCCCCCCCCCCAAATCAGACATGCTGAAAAAGCATTGTGAAGTGATTTGCTTTCTACAGCTGGGTTCAAGAATTAAATGTTGGTTTTGGATTTCTGCTATTTTACCTATTGACCCTGGAAGTATTTCTACTGAAAGTCAGATAGTTAAGAAATTGGTTTCTGTGTTCTGGAGTCGTGGCCGTGCTGGAGAGCCGCTCGTGAGGGGCAACTGGTGTCCTCGGTAGGGCGTGAAGGGCGGAGCGAAACGCCCCCCTTCCCATGAGGTTTTAGTCGCCCCCACACTCCCGGCTCATACCTGCTGTCCACAAGGCTCCCATGTGGCCGCCATCTTTCTTTCCAGAGAGGAGAGGGCGAATGGGGCAACACCCTTTCCCCTCCGGCAGACTTGATGGGCTGGATCAACGCATAGTCCGTTCACTTTTCTGCTCCAAGCTGCTGGGTTCTGCATTAAGGAGGACCCTATTTTTGAGGGACATCCTCAGGTTCATTTTGAGGCCATGATGTGGAGACTTTTACTCCCTGAGTCCTCTCTTGGTTTCAAGTGTTGTCTGAAAGGTGGCCTGGTTTGGGCCTGCAGATGAGTCCTTTCCCCATCAGGGGAGCACCTGCAGATGAGTCCTCATCCTGTAGGGGGAGAGCCTGCAGATAAACCCTGTAGGTGGGGAGGACTGGGCAGATTTTTCGCCCACTGGGTGGGGTATTTTTTTCCAGGCATTTTCTGTCTGTAGGATATAAATTCATATATTATAAAGCTCTCTGAATCCAGGGGACAGAGGAGAACTCTTGCTTGTGTTTGTGCCATGCTGCAGGCCAGGGGACTGTCTGCTCAGCCTCTCAGAGGTCAGCCCATTCAGCTTTCTTTCCAATTCTGCTTCTGCTAAATTTCAGCCAACAAGTCTCCAGCATCCAGGAGAATCTGAGATTTTTCTCCCCGTCCCTCCCCCGTCCCCCCACATTTCTTCTGTTTTTGTTCAGTGTAAACAGTTCCCGCCATAGCAGCATAGACAAATATAGCCGAGAATGTTTTTCTCAACGAAGAATGCTCCCTAAGCATTTTTTAACCATTTTTGGGAAGAATTGATGGTTGTGTGCATGGCAGACGGAAAGCGCAGGCGGGCGGTGGCCTGCTGCTGTAAATGGAGTGACCTCATACCATTGCTGCCATTGATCGCTTTTAGTCTCCAGCCTGGATGAAAGGAAATGGCATCAGGGAGGAAGCCTGCTTCCTTCAGGCACAGATCCCAGAGTGATAATGGGGTAATAATAGAACTCACTCTGCTGTCATTTGCTGGGGCCTCTCTGGCTCCTTCTTTGCATAGGGCATTCACACAGAGGTTGCTGGGCTCAGAGGAAGGACTTGCAGGGTTAGACGCAAGAGGCACAGGGGCCTGGGGTCAGCATGTCCTGATGTCCTGCCAGGGAAGGTCAGTAGTTCTGACATTGGCTGAAACAGAGGGCACTGGCTGGCCTGGGCTGCAAATGGGGGGTGGGAAGGCTCGTTTTCTATTTGTTATTCTGAAGGGGTTGATTTCTGGGTGGGGAGGGTGCTGAGTATTTTTTTTTCTGAAAAGGGGGTTGCAGGCTGACTGTGGGAGCCTTTGTGCTGGTGGTGGTGGTTGTGGTGGTGGTGGTGGTGGTGATGTGATGGTGGTGCAGTTAGGGTGTGTGGGCAGCCTCTGGGCACCAGGAGGGAGAGACCCTGAGACAGGAGGAAGAAACTGCTTTCTGGAAGTTTCGAAAAGATTTCGTTTTCTTTGTGCGTTCACAGGCTGATAGGGTAGATTTGGAAAATTCGTATTTTCTTTTCAACAGCCTGTTTAAAGTCTTTTAAAATCCCGTTCAGCATTGTCCTGCCTGCCTCAGCTCTTAAACCGACAGAAGGTTTGGGTATTAGCAACTGTAGAATCCTCCAGACTTGGTGAGAGTGTAGACTTTAGATCCCTAACAAATGCTTTTGTATTATTTGTACTGGCTAACCTTTAGCAACGCGCGCGCATGTGTGTGTGTGTGTGTGTGTGTGTGTGTGTGTGTGTGTGTGTGTGTGTGTTTTGGAGTTTCATGGGTCTCTGAGGATTTCTGTCTCACATGATTTGACACTCGGGTCTATTTTATCAAGGTTCTGAAGCAGACACATTTTAAGTACTGAACTACTGTCCATATGCACAAAAGAATAATTCCATCCTGAGCTCCTAGTCTGAGGGAAGGATGGAAGTTTCTGTCCCTGGCGAGCTGTAGAGATGAGCACCGTTAAGTTGTCAGAGAAAAGGCAGGTTAAGGGAGTGCTTTCTCTGTGCTTGGGAATCTTGTTTTTCCTTAACTGCTCTGGAGTATTTTCTGCGGCACTGCTTTATGAAGACATGGTCGGCTTAGAAGTTTCTTTATATTTCCATGTGGGTGGGAGCAAAATGACCTACACCCAGTTCCCTTCCATGGTGCCGTGTGCTACCGGGTGGCTCTGAGCACACTCACCAATGAAGGGTCTCACTACTCTGCAAACATTCTGGGCTATTACGTCGTACTGCCATTTCATCATTGGGTGATTTAATAGGGAGTAAATGTTTATTTTACAAAGAGACATGTTCCGCACGAAGCAGAGCTACTAACTGCATCTTTGCTTTAATATCTTCTTTTCAAGGGTCTATAATCTCATGTAAAGTTACAGCATGTTTCCTTGCTTGTCTCAACAAAAAGCTGATGGATTAACTTTGTTGTCTCTGTAGTAAAATAGCATTTGATCACCGATTTCTCTCTACTTTTCTCATTGTCTGGAAATGAGAAATGTCCCAAATTGCAGATGAAAGCCAGATGGTCAGAAGTTGTTTACTGAGGGAGAGGGACACTCTGCAGAGGAATGTTCTTGTGTGTGTCTCGCATCAGCCATGGCTGCATCTGCACTGCTCAGCATGCCTGCTCTGCGTGCACCCACTCGCCCCTCTCCCATTAAAGTCACTTAAGCTCCTCAGAGACTGTGACTCCTGCCATTTCAGCTGTCTGTCTTACTGCCGGCGCCTTCTGCTTTACACATGCTGCTGCTGAAATTAGGAGAGGACAGAAACTTTTAGGGAGCCCTCTCCAGCTGTTTCTTTGTCACCCCAAAAAGTTTCTGCTAGAACAGTGCAACAAGAGATGGACCAGCTTGGATGCAAATACTCTATTAGAGTCCCTATTAACAGTCCTGAAGTATTGAGCTGGAGTTCTAGTAATTGGTGAAACCAGTTGGCCTAAGAGGAGGACCATGCATGGCCCAAAGAGACAGAACAGCAGTAAGGACACTTGTTTTTTTATGCAGCCGCCCCAGGTTAATCTCTGACACCCCATATGGACCCCTAAGTCCTGCCTGGAGTGAGCCCTGAGCACAGAACTAGGAGTAAACCCTGAGCACAGAACCAGGAGTGAGTCCTGACCACAGAACCTTGAGCACTGCCGGTGTGACCCAAAACAAAACAGAGATGAGGAAGAAGTAGTTGTCTTACTTAGGTGACTTTCTTACTCCAGTAACTTACCTTGCAGCCTCTCTTAAAAATGAGCTCCTAAGCGCTGAACCTGACAGCAGGCCCCATTGTTCACTGGTGCTTTTCTTTTCGCACTTCCCTTCCCTGTGCTACTTTACCTCGGCAGGGCTGTGCCCAGTGACGTTCTGCTTTCATAGATGGGGCTTTGAGCCATGTCGTGTGGAACAATAATGGAGGGAATTAGTAAGTGTTCTTTATGCCACGGGCTCCCAAGCAGTGCTCTGAGGTCCCAGAGCCCCACCAGCAACTGGGAGCCTACCTAGCTGATGGCTCACTGTGAGGAAGTCGTGCTGCTCAGACTCTTCAATGACTTTTGGGGGTTTAGGGGCTTCCCAGGCTGCACCACATGATGCTTGGGGAGCCAGGTGGTACCAAGAATTGAGCCTAGGCATATATGTGCCTGCTACCACTGGACTCAGGGCTGCTGCTGAGTTCTAATGCACAGGCCAGTGCTGATGGCCACCCGAATCGTGAAGACACCTTGCAAGGAAGAGCTCCAGAGTGGCTGCTCTGTACAGGAGGTGATGCTGATGGTGCTGTATCCATGGCATGCCTTCCGCATGCAGGGGAGCGTAGCGAGGGGACCAGTGAGCAGCATGCCAGAGCAGGAGAGGGGGTGGGGGACTAAGCCAGGGTGATGGCAGTCACTGTGCACACGGCTCACCCATGCACATATGATCCCTCACCCATTGCCAGGGCTCATTCAAGCCCAGAGCAAGGAATAGCTTCTGAGCTCCTCTGGGTGTGACCCCCAAATACTCAAAAATTAAAAGTGTGTGTGTGTGTGTGTGTGTTGTGTAAAAGAATGGGTCTTGCTTCTGGAACATATCTGAGGGTACTTTAGAGAACAGAACCTCCATGCATACTTTTGTATATTCTTTGGGTCTTACAGTCTACCTGACTGGAAACTTTGTAGTAATTCACTGGGAGAATCTGTGCATTTGAAGGATGTAGCAAAGCCAAATATAGAAAAAAGTGGAATTAATTGTTAGAACTCTGAAACCTTGATTTTAGGAGAAATTAATAATTTGTCTTACTGGGTGTATCGCCTTTTGTCATTGATTTTGGTGCTGTTCTGTTCTGGGGCTAACCCAGACGTCACAGAATAGCCATGAACTCAGGTGCTCTGAGTTCTTGGATGTCACCAATATTGTTTGTTCACTAATAAGTGTTTTCATTTCTGTGTGGATTAAGAACCCTGCGTCTCTCTGTGTACTTTATGATGGCCCATGAGTCTGCCTTTGATTTCTCGTAATTTGAATAATGTTTTCACAGACCGTTTGGTTTTGCCCTCAGCTCCTTCCCGACCAGCTGGTCTTGCTTCTGGAACACCTCTTGGAGCAGAAGACCCTGAGTCATAGGACTCTGCGGAGCCTTGAGAGGACATACCAGCTCTCTGAGCAGGATGCGGAGGTAAGAGAGGCTCTCAGGCTGGTTGAGGGGGATGGTGCCTCCTGCTGGCTGAGCTTCGACCATGTGCTGGGGTGGAGAGCAAGCCTGGGCCTGTTGGTCCCCGGCCTTTAGGGATCCTGAGGCTGCTCCTCCTCTTAAGCCACAAGAATGTACTCACGCCTCTTAAAGGAATGAGGAACTGGAGAGGCAGGTTTTGCAGTTAAAAATGTGTATGTGCGGGGAGGGCAGGAGAGATGGGCCAACCTCGGGTCGACTGCCAGCATATCTCCTGAGCTGCTCATGGAGCGATCTCTGAGCACTGCTATGTCCCAAAAACCCAAAGCCCAGAAACAGTGCAGCTGTGTCATGGTATGTGCTGTAGTCAGTGGCTGCTGTGTGAGCCCAGGATCCTATCTGCACTCAGTTCAGACCGGAGAGGAGCCGTGAGTAATGGAAATGAAAACTAATTTTAATACCCATGATTTAAAAATCAAAATCAGATACTTGTGGGGAAGTGGTCTTGTGGACTTTATATCTGAGTTTCCCATGCAGAAGACAATAATAGTGATGGGTGACTGTTGTGCAAAGTGTGAACCGTGAGGATGGACGTGGAGAATGCACATTCTTCTGCGTCAGCACCGAAAACCCCAAGCTCAATGGTGTTGGGTTAGATGTCAGTTGGGCAAGCATGACCCCTTGCACCCTGCACATATGGCTGTCCTGAATTAAGATGTGTGGTGCGAAGTGACAGTGATGTCTGTGGTTGCAGTGTCAGTATCTTCAGTAAAAATGAAGATCGTTTTCACAGTCATCAGAGTGGATGAGTAAAGAACAGGCCTCTCTTCAATATTGATTACATGGTAAGGCAGATGCTGTTTTTTACAGACCTATAGATTCTGGATTTCACTGGAAATTTATGAGATGTCATACAGCTTAGAGCAAAGTGTAACTGTTGGTATTTATTTCAACTCTTGTTTTTGTTTACAATGTTTCTACACATCAGAGATCCCCATAAGGAAACCAGGAGCTTGCTGCACTCCCCTTGACAGGCAGGCGACAGGCCAGTGAGGGAGGGTGAGGGCATTCTGGCCATGCACCTGTTAACTCTTGCTCAGCCTCCAAGCTCACCTGTTCTGAATGCCCTTTAAGCACTCGGGGAACTCGAGCAAGAACTAGAACTGGCTTTCTGTGCTGTGCTGTCAGAGCTCAGCAGCACCCTCGTGGGATCTCTGATGATTGGAGAAGGGCAGATTTGCTCCCTTCATGGGACCCAGCTTTGGTGCTAGGGACTAGGGAGATGGCATGGGTGTTGGGGAGAACACAGGCCTCTGGACAGACACATGGGAACGAGCCCCAGTGTTGCTGTGGTGCCAGCTGGGTTCTCTAGCCAGAAAGGTTTCTCAGTGACACCTGAGCCCCGGCCAGGGATGAGAGGCCACAGAGAGTGCAGGGGCCAGGTGGGAGGGACGGGAGAGACACTGGACTGGGGCTGGACAGTCTGTCCCGAGGGGCACGGTGGTGCGCCCTGCAGGCCACCTGGCTTGTCTCAGTGTCCAGCCCCCTGCTGACCCTGTGTGAACTTGTCCCAGCACAACTGCTGGTGAAGTACATCCTGAATTTTGTCTGTTCTCATGTGGTACACAAGATTCTTCATGTTCCCGCTGCTCTAACTGAGTCATCGCTACTGCTGGCCTGCCCTCCGAGGTGGTTTAGTTGGGCTTAGGGCCCTGCCGGTGAGGGGCAGGTTCAGGAAGGTGTCAGGCCCCACCATGCTGCTGGCTGCATGTGCCCGCCACCCCTCACTGCCCAGTCTTCCATGGTGTCTGCATGTGCTTGTCTAAATGGTGCCCTGACACATCCCGACAAGGACCTTTCTTGCATGTCCCTCAGAGTAAGAGAATATTCGACCAACCGGAGCATCCTCTAGAAATGCACGTGGTCATGCTTGGTTGCCTCTGACGCCAATGAGGAGGAGCCGAGTGGGACATGCTGTTTGCCTTTATTCAGAGTACAGCACATGTCATGGGAGAAAACTTTTGTTTGGTGGGAAACATCTTGAGGGTTTGGGCTTAGTTCTGGATGTTGACTCAACTCTGTCCACCTGAGTCACCCCCATTCTTTTGGGGGCTTTGGCAGTATAGGATGCTTAGTTGAAACAACCCTGTGAAGTGACTCTCGAGGGATTTCCTTGCAGACAGCCATGGGGTCACAGGTCTGTTGCAGCGACACCACCATGTTACTGAGTTCTGTGGTACAGGACTGCACATCTCAGCCACTTCCCCTGCTCACACCTCACTGGTGGGAACAGAAAGGAGCTTGAGCAACTGATCACCTGGAGAGAGTGATCAAGAGTGGGGACATGGGCCTGCCCTTGTCCTGCCCAGAACTGATAAGACAGAAGCTAAACAGGAGACAATCAGTGCTACCCTCGATCCTTATACTCGTCGGCTCAGTGAAGGGGCCGGGACTAGAGTTTGGACTTAACGTGCAGATAACCCAGCTCAAACCCTGTCCCTGCAGGCTCCTTTGAGCTCCCCTTCACCCCTGCCTCAAGAGTAAAGAAAGGTTTAACAACATTGAACTTGAATGTTTTTCAAAAGTTAGAAAATGTTTGGGGGGTTTTGTGTACTTTGGGGATTGTGCCTGATTGTGTCAGGGGAGTCCCAGTGCAGTGCTGCACAAGGCTTGGGTGGTAGCAGGAACTGAAGCTGGACACCATCCCTTTGAATTTCGTCCCCAAGTATGGACAGTGGGTGGGGGTTTGTTTTTCAAGGGTTATTGGGCTACACTGGCAGCTCAGGCTTCCTCCTGGCTCTGCACCGAGGGATCACTCCTGATGGGGCTCCAGGTACCACATGTGGTGCTGGGAGTGGAACCTGGCTTGGTCACATGCAAGGCAAGTGCCCTCCCCACTGTGCTATTGCTCCAGTCCAGGTGTCCCCATTCTGTTGGGGTACAATGGGGACAGATATGGAGCTGGGGTCTCCCACATGCTTGTCAGGTGCCACCTATAAACTGTCTCCTTGGCCTTACAATGAACTTGTGCAACAAAAACTCATTTTCTTCTGAGATACCTTTTTCAGTCATCAGTTTCCTGCCCCCTGCAACAGGTCTCTTAAACACTATTAGCTCATTAAACACTATCCCATGGGGTGAATGTCCACAGAAGTGTGTCCCCACGACTGACCATAAAGTGACTATTTCTCCAGACTAGAGTCCATTGCTCTGAGGCTTGAGGTCTTTCAGGTACACCGTTTATGAAAACTGGGTGACAAGATCCATGTCTGTCGGTGGAATGGATGCTGACCCTCCAGCCTCCAGCCTGGTCTGCCGCCTCTGGGACAGTCCCAGCCAGCACCAGGTAGGGCCATGACTGGGCGAAGCCAGCATGGAGCCTAGTGCCCTGTTTTTCTGCCCTCAGCTAGACCAGGCAGGTAAGGTGACCCCCCTCACGAGCCTGTCAGCTTAGCTCTCCTTTTAGTTCCCAGGCCAAGTGCCTACACAAACAGACCTGGATGTTGCCCTCAACTGCTCCCAGTCCAGATTCCCCAAATGGCTGGTCATTGCAGAGAAATCACCCATGTCCCACAATCCTGTGTCATCCTGCGCTCAGCACCATGGCGGTAGGCAGACTCAGGGCCTCCCCGACCCCAGCTGCTGTGCAGGCAGGAGTCGCAGTTGGTTTCCTTTCTGGAATGTGGATGTAGGTCTCAGCCCCTGCTGGACACGAGCTGGACAGGACTGTGGTCCTCGCTGGCTCCCTAACTCCCTGCTGAGGACAAGTGCGAGGCCGTCATGTGGTCTCTTGCCACTAATTGCTCCATCTGCACCATGGGAAGTGGAGAGATACTGGTATGTCACAGAAGCAGCCTATAGTTTCCTTCTCAGCCTTCAGAACTGTTGGGGAGAACAACCCCGGATCAGCCCTGACCATCAGGGATCCTGAACTCTGGGGCTGCTGGATGTCGGGAGCAGTTGGGAGCCACTGCTCTTCTTTTGGGGCTGAGGCACAGATATGTGCCCTTCATTTCCTCTAGCAAAGTGTCTGATGACTGGTTGCGACCAGGGCTAGAGCAAGCTGGAGACATGTGCAACAGTTTTTTTGGATTTTGTTTGGAGGCCATACCTGGTGATGCTCAGGGCTTAATCTGCACTCCTGTGCAGATTAATCAGTTACTCCCGTGGTGCTCAGGGAACCATATGAGATGCTGGAGATCAAACCTCAGTCATCTGCATGCAAAGCCAGCACCTGCCTCTGTGCTATCTGATCCATCCTATATTTGGAAATTCAAGAGGCTTCCCTGGGCTAGCCAGACCTTTCCAGGGCCACATACAGTCCCTGGAGACAGACTGACACAGAAGAGAAAGAAGAATTCAGAGCTCATGAATCCAGAGGCAGATTAGTGAGCACTGACAGGCTGACCCATGTGGCACCGTCGTCTCTGGTCTCATGTCTGCTCACAATGCAGGCAGGACTCAGCAGATGGTGAGGATGAGACTGGCAGCCAGGCCAGCCCTTGCAGGGGTCTCCAAACACAAGGTGAAGAAAGCCCCATTCTGCTCAGAGAAGCCTCTCCCACATTGGTGTGGCCTGCAGTCGTGAAGGCGTGACTCTGGGACAGTGGTCTGAGTTTGGTGCTCTTTCCAAAGTAGGGTTTCTATGTGTTGGTTCTAGTGAGCAGATTGAGATAGGGGAGAATAAAGGTTTACTCGGGTGTCCTTAAACCCCAAGTCCTGTCAGTCTCTGCAGCTCCACCCCTTTGCCTGAGTACAGAAATCCCATCCCCCCCCCCCCCCCACCTCCGGCCAACACACACCCACACACATGGCCGTGGGGTTTCCTGCTCCAAGCAGCCCCTGCTCCCTATACTGTGAAGTTTTCAGAGAACCTTCTGCTCATGTTGGTGCCTGTCGGAGCAGTCTCAGAGAGGAAGCCAATGGTGCGCCCATCAATGCAGTGGCCAAAAAGCTGACTGCCCCAGCCACAGGGTCGTCTGGGTATCCCTTGAGGGTCCCTGGACACAAGCGTGTCCTGCCAACCCATGTCTAGAGCCAGCAATGTCTGCTGCTGCCACAGGACAGCTCCAGCAGCAAACCTTCAGTGCCCACCTAAAGCGAGCTGGCCATGGGGGCTGGAAGGGGCCTGTGGGTAGTAAAGTGGACGTGGCAGTAGTGACCGTGTGTCAGCGTGGCTGCTGGGACTCTCATGTCACGTACATTAGTCAGGCACAGGTTAGTGGGTGTGGACCGGGTGAGACCTCTTGAGTTCTAAGAAGTCAGGATGGTACTGGGTGGCGGGCAGATGGAGAGGGCATGGGGCATATTCCACGAGGCAGCAGCTCCACTCGGTGCTTTGATGTTGGGAAGAGAAGGGCGCTCAGGCTGTGCGTGTGCTCTGCTGCAGCTATCTGGGAGCAGCAGCTGAGAATGCGCCACTTGCTCCTAGGTTCAGGGCCCAAAGAACCTTCCCCGGAGAGCGTATCATGGTGAAGTCGCTCAGTGCATTAAGACAGAAGGAGTTTGGAAAACAGTCTCTGTCCTGCTGGAAACCAGTGTTACTTCAGTATGGGTTTTTTTTTTCCCTTCATAAAACCTTTATTTCAAAAACAGAGCTGTCATCTCTTCGATGAATAGTCTTTGTTAGCTTTAGGCAAGGGCTGCATTGCATTTATCATGAATATCCCTCCTGTGGCTGGCTGGTCAGAGGTTCCATGAATCATAAAGAAATAAGGGGAAAAAATGCTGAAAAATAATCTACCTAATTTTCGTGTGTGTGTGTGTGTGTGTGTGTGTGTGTTTGGGCTGAAGCCCAGGGATTCACACATACAGACAGAAGCCTCAGTGCACACCCCATACTTGGTTTATTCTTTTAAACAGATACAGAGCCAGAGAGAGGGAACTGCGGGCAAGGAACTTGCCTTGTGCTCAGCCAGCACAGATTCAGTCTCTGGTACTACATATGGTCTCGAGCCCTACCAGAAGTGATTCCTGAGCTTAGAGCCAGGAGTCAACTCGGAGTACCACCAGCATGGTAAACAAAACAAAGCACCAGACCCAAAAATTTTGTGTAGTTTACAATAAAAAGAACTTGCTGTTTATGTGCAGATGATGATGGTGATGGTGGTGGTGGTGGTGGTGGTGGTGGTGGTGGTGGTGTGTGTGTGTAAGAGAAAAAGTTTCAAGATCAGTGGAACTTGGGGAGTGACACAAGAAGTGATCTTCACTCTTTTGTGTGGATGTGGTTTGCTTTGTTGTAACCATGTGGAACTGTGCCCCACAGACTAGCTGACTTCAGCCATATGTGGGCAGAAGCAGATGCCCACCCTGAGTACAGTGAGACCCGGGCTGGGGGAAGCAAAAAGCCACCACCCTGTGCAGGCCTGTTCCACTCTGTGTGTCCCGGGAGTGGACCACGTGGGTGAGAGCCCTTTACCGAAATAGCCTCCCCCATCCTGATTCATGTGGACCCACACGCTGGACCATCCACCCACCCGAGTGTGGCCCGGCATATTCACAGGGCCTGTGACCAAGAATTTCACAGCAGGAGGAGTGGAAACTGTGGATAATGACTGTGAAGTCCTCACCATATAACCCGGCAGGGCGGATCCCCTGCCTCCTGCCCTGGAGTTGTGCTGTGACGAACAGAGCATCAGCTACAGAGCAATGCTCTTGAGAGGCTGTACATCCCTGCCCACAGCCAGATCTAAAGGAGAATGAGATATGCGTGCTGGGATGTGGTCACACTGCACGTTTTGGGGAACATGTGTATCGCTGGTGCAGTCCTAGACACTGACACGTGTCATGCACCTATGGAACGAGGCACCCACCCTTCAGGCCGTAGCTTCAGTTCCCAGAAAACCCCCATCCCCCTGCCGCTAAGCATTCAAAGGGGCATTGGGTTGCCCCAAGTTAGGAGGATGGTCTCGCTGTCCTTGGCCCTGAGTATTCAGACCAGCTCCCGACAACATAGGGTGTGACCTGCCTCTCTGGCCCCTGCACTCCTTTCCGCTCAGCAAGTTTTATGAGTACCCTATGCTCTGTGCCCTGGTGTTACTCTGTTGGTTGTTGAGGAAAGAATGCTGTGGAAGGTAGAAGGGTTTCTGCGACTGTCCGGCTGACTGCTGGCCGAAGCCTGTCCTCCCACCTGCAGGCAGAGGCCATACCAGCTGCAGCACAGATGCGCCCCAGGGCACCAAGGCCTCAGAGGGGTCGAAGCAGTGCTTACCTTCATCCTCTTGTGTGGTTTCAGCAGTGCTGAATCAGTGAGATTTATAAGAGTGCCACCAAAATGTTGAAATTGCATTTTGGGGTGTTACAAGGTCACTGTAAGAATCTCCACCTTTATGGGGGTTGTCACAGCTGCTTGCTGGGGCTGCAGGGTGGTGTTAGGCATCATGCAGTGCTCATCCTGGGATGCACCGTGGAGTCCCACATTCAGAGGTTGCCACCCGGCACCCACCACCCTGAGAGCTGTCTCCTCCAGCCACCCCGTTCCGCCACACACACACTGACTCCCTATTTAAAAGGTAATAAAAGCTAGGAGAAAAAAGAAGAGATTTAAAATGCATAACTGGGGGCCATGGAAATAGTAGAGGGTTTAGCACTGGCCTTGCATGTAATTGACCTAGGTTCAGTCCCCATCACATTATATTGTCCCCTGAGCACTGCCAAGGGTGATTCCCAGTGAAAGATCCAGGCAAGAGTAAGCCCTGAACATTGTTGGGTGTGGCCCCAAACCCAAACTACGTTTTTATTTTTATATTTTTACAAAGTTATTTGTGGTTGAGTTTCAGGTGTATGTTGTTCCAGCACCAATCGCTTGTCTATTACCCTTCACCAATGTCCCCAGTCTCTCTCCCACCCCTCAGCTTGCCTCTATGGCAGGGAGTTTCCCTCTCTCCCATCATCCTAGTGTTTCCTTCCCTAACTGATCCCCCCACCCCTGTCCCAGTGTGAGATTCCTAGTGAGACCAGTTCTCCTACTCTGTTTCTATTGCTGTTGGGCATTTGCTATTCCCCTTCAAACTTTCTTTTGGTCCCACACATGAGAGCAATCACTTGAGTCTTTTCCTCTCCCTCTGATTTCACTCAGCATGATTCTCTCCAGATCCGTGTGGCAGCAAATTGCACGATTTCATAATTTCTTCCAACCTAGTAGTATCCCATTGTGTAGACATACTGGAGCTTCTTTATCTAGTCATGTGTTCTCGGGCATTTGGGTTTCCAGATTCTGACTCTCGTGAATAGTACTGCAATGAACATAGGAGGCCAGGTGACTTTCCTGAAATGTGCTTTTGGACCCTTGGCGTATATTCCCAGGAGTAGAATTGCTGAAAATAGTTTGTAATTAAAAATGTTTAATAGAGAGAAATACACGCAAATAGATCCATATTCTGTTGAACGTTGAACAGAATGGAATGTGAAATGATATGCCAGCCTGTTCCATCAGCACATGCGCAAGACCATCAGAACACACTTGCATCCACTCAGACCACAGGCTGCTGAAGGCGAGGGAGGTCTCTGCACAATGTCTGAAGGCTTCTATGGTGATTGAGGCAGGCTGGATCCAGTCCTTGAGTGGCTGTGGTTGGAAGGATCTTGATGCCCACATGCTGGGTGTGTGTGTGTGTGTGACTGTCACAGTTAACAGGCATGTCTATCTCTTGCCATGTTCAAAATCAGCCAAACCTCTGAAACCTCTTTAAGGATGTAAAGAAAGTAAGTTTGGGGGCCACACATGGCTGTGCTCATGGCTTACTCCTGGCTCTATGCTCAGGAATCACTGCTGGCAGGTTCAGGGGACCACATGGGCTATCGAGAATCAAACCTGGGTCAGCTGCATGCAAGGCAAATGCCCTACCCACTATATCATCTCCAAGGCCCACAAATGAAGTTTAAAACAAAGCCAATTATGCACTTCGGAGAATGACTTTCTCTACCATGAAGGCTCTTGGTCACAAGACAGGCTGCAGAAAACCTGCCCACTGACTGACTGTTCCTGGTTTGCTCTGGTTTCCTGCAGGTGCGTCACCGGTGGTGTGAGCTGGTGGTGAAGCACAAGTACACGGGTGCATACAGAGACGTGGAGCGCTTCCTCCTGGATGACCAGGTGAGCTGCTCAGCCCCATGAGGCTAACTCCCGTGCTGTCTCCTGGGTGTCCCAAGTCACAGGCACATTCTGTAGCACCCTCCTTCTCTCCCCTCACTCCCTCTGACGCAGGTGGTGCCCAGCGCCCTTCCAACTCACCAGCCCCATTTGGTGCCTCTGCATGCTGGCCACCCGTGCGGTTCTGCATCATGGTAGCTGCAGTTCATTCTCACTCCCCATTAGCTTCTGGGGTGCATACTCACACCTGCAGGCTTTCACCTGGAAGGTGTGTGTGAGCTCCAAGGGACTGTTCCAGTGACCCAGACAGCCTGCACCTGCTTCCAGGCAGGCCCCAGGGCTGCATCCTTGTGAGCATCCACCCCTTCCCCAACTCTCCTTCTGTCCCTGACTCTCCTTCTGTTCCTACAGAGTGTCCTTACTCCCTGTCCTCAACTCTCTGTCCAGACTCTTCTCTCCACCTCTCTCTATCCGGACTTTTCTCCCTCCAACTCTCTGTGTCCCCGATGCTCTCTCTGTCTTGACTTACTCTCTATCCTCTCTCTGTCCTGATTCTCTCTGTCCCCAACTCTCTCTCTGTCCCGACTCTGTGTCTTTCCCACAAGCACCTGGAAACACCCACAGTGCCCCTTGGAGGTCTGCACGAGGCCCCTGCCCTGTGCAGCCTGTAGGATATAACAGTAGCATGGCTGCATGCAGCGGCCAGTAGTGGGGAGCAGCTCGGGTGGGGGTGAGCAGAGGGCCTGAGGGGCCGGCCATGAGCCCAGTCCCCACACCCTACGTCCCTGTACTGCAGTACGGAACACATGGCCTCAGGAGACTGGAGCAGGTTAGATGAATGAAGGCATGGTGCAAAGCCATGGGGCTCGGGGCTCCTTGACCTGATGGGGGGACAAGGGGGAAGCCCTGGGGAAAGTGTGAACACAGTGTCTGCAGCTGTATCTGTGAAACATGAGAGCCAGTGTTGGCAGGGGGCAGGAGCTCGGAGCTCCCCAGCCATGACAATGGCATCCTTGGGCTCTGAGGACAGATTCAGAAATTCTGAATTTCCTGGAGTTTTACAGAGAAAGAGACAGTGATTGAAAACGCACTTTATCTAGTGCTGTGTCTCTAGTCACAAGTGCTGCCTGGACATAGCTGCAGCATGTGTGTGGTGCATGTATGTGCATGCATGCATATATGAGTGGTATTTGTGTGCCTGTGTGCAGGGGAACACCGTCCCTCACCGTCTCTGTCCTTTGCCCCCAGGCCATGGGCATTTACCTCTATGGGGAGTTGATGGTGGGCGAGGACTCACGGCAGCAGCGTCTAGCTCACACGTGCTTCAAGCTGACCAGCAAATGGATGGACAGTGGCTCCGCCCAGGTGGTGACTGAAATGTTGTTCTGAAGAGGTGACTGTTCCTTCCCTTTCTCCGTTGCTCTTCCTGACCTGAGATTCCCTGCAGGTGCTTGCCCAACCACAGTGCCCACGGGCAGGTCCTGGGCACTGGCTGTGGGAGTCACAGAACATCTGAGGAGGTCTGGGGTAGGTAGGGCACACTGCCAGCACCTCCACCCTGCTCTCGATTCTCAGGCTCCCCATGCAGTGCAGGTGTGACCCCACCCTCCGGCCGCACCAGGCTCCCCCTCATTACCAGGAGTGGCATCCACAGTCCCCCCAGCATCTTCTCTGTTGACTGCTCAGACGTGACTGGGAATCTGACGTTCTAGCATGGCATCTAAGAATTTTTGAGGGTCATACTTGGGGGTGCCACATCTGGTGCTCGCGGGCCCTGTGCCTTGCCGGATTTGAAGCAGGGTCCTAACTGCAGCTATGTGCTGACAAGTGTCTTCACCTCTGCCTGTCCCTCTGGCTCTTAGTACTTAGTTGCCATTTTTGGCTACGTGCAAGGCAAGCACCACTATCATATCACTCTAGCCTAGTTTCAAAGGGTGGATTTTTGCATTTTAAAGGTAATTTAGCAGCGAATGATACATAAACATGTGTAAGTAGGACTGTGGGATGATATTTAAGAATTTTTTTTCCTGATGGTCATTCTTTCGGTATTTTTTTAAGGTTTTGCAGTCTGCCTGTTTTGTATCTTTTTTATAGGTTACAGATCTCTAGGAAGCATTTCCATATCATGTGACAGCTCTGTAAATGCATGTTTTTATGGTGATCCCTTAACCCACTGTTGAACACTTGTTTGCTTCTTGTGTTTTCGTCTTGCAAAGACTACTACCCTGGGACAGATCTAAGTGTCTTATTTTGCCAGACCTCTTGTAGAGAGAATGGAGAGCACTGGTCTGGCCCGTGCTGTGGCTCCTCTGGACGTGTGGGGTTGCTGAGGAGATGCCAGGAAGCACTTCGTTTATGCACTTGGACTGCGGGGCAGAGAGTGCCCTCGACCTCAGGGCAGCCTGAGCTCCCCACCCAGCCTCGCCCGAGGACCCTGTGGATTGGCTGCCGGCTTCTCCCCGGCATGGCTGCAGCTGACTCCGACGTGCAGGGACACTGCGGGGGCCGTGGACGAGGCCGTGCTGCGGGCCAGGCTCCACCCGCGGCTCTGGCTGGCTGCTTGGGTTCCTGGCATGCTGATTTGTGACTTAAGATGAAAATCACATTGCCAGGGATTACCACGCAACCACGACCTTGGCGGCTCGTCGCCGTGAGACGCCGCTGGGCCCTTCCCAGCACTCCCGGGCCTGCGTGGCTGTGACGACCTCTCTGGCGAGGTGCAGAGCTTAGCTGACTGGTGAACAGTGACTGGTTTCCACCTTGTTCACAGTGGCTAAGTTCTGCACCTGAAGAGAAGGTGAGATGGGGCCGGTTAATTAAGTGTGAGCTGCCAGAGGCCGCGGTGGGCATGCTGGAGGACGAGGACCGTGCAGAGGCCCAAGGCCACATGTGTTGAAAGCTGCAAAACTCTTGTGTCCATAAAGGCCCGGGAGGCAGCCGGAACACGGGGCCAGGCTGTGTGTATGTGGCACTGGCCCTGTTGCCATTCTCTCTTGTATTTGCAGTCCAGGTCTCCACTCCTCGTCTGGCTGTCGATTGGACCCGCCCTCCGGTGCCTACTGAGCTGATATCAGTTCTCGTTTCACACACTGGCTCAGTTCAGCAGGAACAGGAGTCGAGCCCGAGAGCAAAACACCTTCCTGCTCATCTGTGCTGGAGCCGGCATTCACCGCAAGAGCCACGAGGCTGCACCTGTATGTCGTGTGCGTGTGGGAGCGGCATGGCTACATTGCATGGAAGGTGGCATGTGTCCAGCGCCACACACGCAGGCACTTCGAAGTGTAGACCCCAGGGCTGGGCCTGGCCCTCCACGGTCCCATGCAGAGCCGAGGTACACGGAGCCTCTCCGTACAAGAGTTGCGGTATCGTGACGGGGCAGTAAGTGCTGTCACTGTTTCCTTTGCAGGGCAGATCCCAACGAGAACCTTTGAGTGTGCCCAAGACCACCACTGCAGGATGAGGTCGCAGGGACAGGGTTTGTGGGCGCCCTCCGCCAACAGTGATGCATACCCAGGCCAAGCTGTGAATGCTGCCCAGTCCCCTGCCTTGGAGTGGTACCAGCGAGATGGATCTCTTCTGTGAGGTTAAGGCGGTTCTTAGGCCTGAACAGATGATTAAAATAGGAGGAAAATGGAAATACCCACTTAAGGTGCCCTCAGCACATGGCCAGGTTGATGCTCTTGCTGCAGAGTCTGTGTCCTCTGGTATCCACTGGCTCGCTTCAGAAAGAAGCCACAAAGTTACTGATCTTATATTTTTATTATTTTGTCCACTTGGTGTCTTTGGTGAAAATGCGAGATGAGTATTAAAGATGTATCAGAATAAAATGCAGAGGATTTGGTGTTCTGCATTCCTGTTTGCTTCTTAATTCACACGGGCCTTCCAGCTGTTTCTTCAAGCCTGTATTCTCCCTAGAACAAATACCATGCTTGTCTGTTTCTTTGCTCACTTATTTCTACTCTGGAGAAGCCCACATTCTCTCTAGAACACTTATTTCCTCTCTTTCATGTTTTTCAAAGTTCATTCAACAAACACTACCTTGGTTCACAAAAAAATTAAAATGACAGGGAGGGCTCTGTGTGGAAAGCGGCCCCTGGGCCACTTCCTAGAACCCAGTGACGTGGTCAGCCCCAGCTCCACGCCCCCAGCACTGGGGCACACCAGGTTCCGGGCCAGGTTTGGTGAATCACCTTTGGCAGGTTCTCTTGAGGACAGTGCGGGCTCCCATGCACCTGCCAGTTGCTGGGCCCATGGCACTAGAGATACCATGCCAGGCAGCAGCAGTTTAGGGTGACTGAGCTCCGCCCTTGTCACAGCCTTGTTCTTCCAAGTCACTTCATAGTGACTCCTTCCAGAAGGTTCCTCAGGGCCTCTCAAAACCACAGCTATGCCAAGCTCATGGGTGTGATGGAGGCGCCTGTGATTTCCATGGGAGCGGGTGTCCGGTGCATCTCTATCAACTTTCCCCTCTAATGGCTGCCCATGTGGCTGCCCCAAGGCGTTCACACAGAACATCACTGAGCTTGTCCTCTGGGCCAGGCCACCCTCTGACTCTCAGGTCTGTTTCGAATCTTGTTTCTCCAAAAAGTGAGAGTCCAGCTCTGAGCCCAGAACTGCCCAGAGCAGAGCCGCTGTGCCTGCTGGGCACCATGACAGCTGATGGTGTCAGCGTCCACCGCTCCGTCACGGGATTGCTCTGCCCTCTGCAGCGCCAGGACTCCTGCGGGCATTTCGGGCCTGTCACTCCCTAGTAGCCTCTGGTGTCCGGGGGAGGGGGAAGGGGAGGGCTGGAGCCCATGGGAAGAAACCGGCAGCTGGGCGAGGCTGTGTGTGGGTGTGGCAGGTTAGTCAGGCTCAGGCAAGGTCACTCCAAGTAGCTGCTGGAGTCCAAGGCTCCCCAGTTTCCTGCAGAGCTTACAAGTGGCAGGAGAGCAGTTGGGGGGCATTCGAGGGGAGGTGATGGGCCCTGGCACAGCCCTGGTGCTGTCTGACATTGAGAGTTACAAGGCCTTTCTGCTCTGAGGGAGGCCACTGTCATCTGTCCTGCAGCCAGCAGGCTCTAGTGGCCTGCTGGGACCCTGCAGGCAGAGCTGCTGCCTGGTCCCACAGACACTGTTCCTGAGCCTGGCCTGGAGCCTGGCTCACGAACAGGGCAGTGCCACCCTCTGCCCTGCTGCTGATCCTGCACGCTCAGCGTCTCAGAGGGTCTGGGATGGAAGTAGGCACAGGCCGCTGACATCTGAACCCCTGAGCATGAAACAAAATGAATCCAAGTTGCAGACCCCATGCAGGCTGTACCCTGCAGGGGCAGCTAGCTATGCATCACGAGGGGCCTTTCAGGCCTTGCAAGCACGCCCCGTACTGGAGCCCCCATCTCCCCTTCCCCCCACCCCCCCACACCCCTTTAGGTTTCTATAGTGCTGAGAAGCAAGATCTCTTTAGAGGACAGACTCAGGCTATAAGTACGGAAGAGAGCATTCACCAGCATCTGGATCCATGCAGGTAAGGTAGCCCGGGGCTGTGAGCAGAACATCCTTGCCAGAACCATCATGTTCAGGGAAGATCCTGAAGGCTGAGGCGTCAGGGCCTAGGTCATTCTCTTTTGTTTGATTTGGGGGCCATGTCCAGCAGTGCTCAGGGGACTGCAAAGAGCGGAGGGAGAAACCTGTGCGGTGGCTCAGCTCTCTGAGTGCACCCTCTAGTCACTTATTGATGGGTCCATGTGCATGCAGTACCCTAGTGGGAACCTGCACCCCAGTCCCCTATCCATGGTGACTGCATGTCCAGTGTCAGGACCTGATCACCCATCCCCCCTCCACACACTAGGCAGTATTGTTCTCATTTGGTCCGACCTGTTAGGAGAAAATGTATTCAAGCACCTTTCACCTCAGTTCTGTCACTGCCAGGTGTGGCCCAAATACCAGAAAACCATTTTTGAAAAATCTTTAAAGCTGGAGCATGGCCAACCCAGGTATCCAGGCATCTTATATGGTTCCTTGAGTACTACAAAGAGCAGTTTCCCAGTGCAGTGCCAGGAATAACGCCTGAGCATTGCTGGGTGTCATCAGATGATGCTCATAAAAAAAAAGTCTTTTCAAAGTTCTCTTTCTTTTCTTGTGATCATTGCAGGCAGTATCTCTGACCCCTAAGTCTGAATCAGTGGGCTTTTTCTTAGTAATTTGTACAGGACCCTTAGAAATGAGAAAATGAGTTCTTTGTTCAGTGGCAACCTTTTTGCAGTTTGTATTTTCATGGGTGTGGTTTTTTTATCTCCATGTGTTTGGTTTTATCCCAGTTCCTGATGCCTGGGTTTGCGACCTACCTGGAAAGACTCCCTCAGTGTCCTGTGGCTTATTATGGGTGTGGTTGAAGCTTTGATCCCCCCAGAGACCACCTCTGGCGTCACTTCCCCCACGGGGATGGGGGTTCGTCTCTGGAGCTGTGACAGACTTTGACCTGATCCCAAGCAGGACCAGAGGGGCTAAAAAGAGTTTATGTGAAAGCCTGCAAAGAAATTCAATGAAACATTCTTAACACATTTGAGTGTTGTGAATTCTTATTTTACAAAACAGTCTTCCATGTGTCTGCAGGTAACATTCTCCCCACATACACACCCCACCTCTCACCCACACACACCACTACCACCTCAGAAACCTGCCTGTGCCAACCCAAAACTGACACTGCGTAGTATTTTTTTTAAATCTCTTAATTGCCATGAAAGTAGGTTAGCTGATTTTCCAGCACCATTTTGCTTTGACCAAAAAGTCTCTGTGGTTACTAAAATTCCCTGCAGGTGTGTTATTTATTTATTTATTTATTTTTGGTTGGGGGAGTGGGTGGAGCTGCAAGCAGGGCCCAGGCCCTCTCCAGCCACTTGCCAATTTGCCTGGGCTGTTCAGAGCTCAGGCCGGGATGTGAGTTGGCTGGTTTACACCTTGGCCTGTAAAGTGGTGCCAGGGATCGGACACAGGTTCTTTGGGGCCAGAGCTGACTCCTCCCCCAATACAGTTCAGTCTACATTTATGCCTGGAAATACTCGTATTGGAGATCTAATCCATAAAGAATAGTTAGCACACACAGAGCACGTGGCATCTGGGAGGTTGGGTGTCATGAGAACAATGGAGATAGCTCAGGGTCTGGGGTGGAAAGTGCCAGGCATCAGGTCTGTCACACGGCCTCATGACTGGCTTAGGAGGGATTTGCTCTAGCCTGCCAAGAACGGGTGTGAAGTCTGAAGTGTGAGTGGGTGTAAGAGTCATGTAGAGAGAGGGACCTGAGAGAAAGTACAGCAGGGAAGCTGCTTGTCTTGCACACAGCCAACATGGGTTCCGTGCTTGTCACCAGATTTGGTCCCTTAAGCACCACCAGGAGTGATCTCTGAGTGCAGAGCCAGGAGTCAGCCCTGAGCGCTGCTGCCTGTGTTCTTCTCTCAGCCTCCAAAATAAGGAGTCACAGAGGCCAGATTGTGCTGGACCTTGCAAGTCCTTTGAAGATGTTTGGGTTCCCTCTGGATGAAGCAGTGCCTTAGTTTCCCCGGATGGCACATGTGTTGGAGTAGTGCTAACAGGAGAGTATACCGTTGCGAGAGTGGGAGCCAGCCAAGTATCTCATTAGAGGGGTGGCAGCAGCAGAGGGAAAGAGGGTACTGGATTCTGGAACATCTAAAGGAGGATGTGGGGTCCCGTAGGGTTATGGACAGTTGGACCTGGGCAGGTGAGTGGGTCTGGGGCAGGTGGACTGCATGCTGGCTTGGTCCACCTCCCATCAGGCAGAGCCACCTTCAGATCTGAAGTCCCTGTGCAGGGCCTGGAGAGGCTGGGGTCAGCAGGAGCCAGTTCTTGGACTCCTAAGAACCCCTGTGCTTTTCTAGCATCCAGGGCGGTGTTGGGAGGAAGGTGCATGCCGTTCTGTGTGTCCAGCTCAGTGGCAGCCGGGCTGAGAGTGTTTGCTGGCCAAGGCTAGGGTGCTGGGACTTGCAGAAGCCGCCTCATACTCTTTCCTCGCTGGGTCCCACCTAGATTCCACGGTGCATCCACTGTAGGAACCCCTCCCCCAGGAAAGCACCCCAAGTTTCTCTGGATGTCCAGTGCCAGACTGAGAGATGGTCAGTGGATGTGCCCCTGCCAACAGGCACCAGACCCAGGTGTGTTTCCTGGCACGGAGCCCCTGAGCACTATCAGCCTCACCACAGGGCCCTGCCCGTGTGGCCTCAGGGGCCCTTCCATTGACCAAGGGGCCACAAGGCCTCCCCCTGGGGCACTCTGAGCCCACTCGCTGGTCCCTATCCATCCTGTGACCTTAACTTTCTACAACATTTCTGTGGGTGTTGGGACCGGGCCTTCCAGGAGACCAGGCAGGGTCTGGCAGTGCTGGGCCGCACACTGCAGGGCCCAGGGTCCCTCTGGCCTGAGGGACACAGGCGCCCCACAGCTGCCTGCCCTGTCCTTGCGAGCACTGTCCCTGGCTGTTGAGGATCCCTCTTGTCAAAGCTTGCCTGGAAACAGTGCCTCCCTCTCCCCCTCACTCTCAGGGCCCTGTTGCCGGTGGCTCGGGATTCTCCCATCCCCAGAGCAGGCAGAGCCAGACAATGGTCACATGCTCCTGTTAGCCTCTGTCCAGTGCCTCCGAGTCTCTTCCTTTTGGGGGGCTCTTGGACACTGCACAACTTGGAAGGGCAGCAATATTTCAGAGGAAAGGGTACTGGCTGGTCAGAGCTCATCCTTGTCAGCTTGATAGTGCTGATGGTCTTCAAAGGCCCCTTGGGCCAATTCCTTTCACTTTTAACCAAGTGTCCCAGTTGATCATTAAGATTCCTTGTATTCTGAAAAAGACTAGAGCTCAGTGAGACTT